AAAATGTTGGAAATTCTGGAAAACTTAGGCACTTTAAATCAAAACTTACAAAAAAACTGGCTATTCCAAATGTAGCTTTCTGATAGCAAGCTATTATATTTAATTAATTTGTTTATTTTAGTCTCTTCTCAGGAATGATCCCAGTAATAATCTTGTTATAAGTGATTGATAACGATAAGTGTAGCATGATGTGCTGTGGATTTATATCCCTACAAACCCATTCTAAGTTACCAATTGTATATGTTGAGAATGTGTTTGGTAAACTAACCCACTGGACAGCCTAGCTTACTAGCAATATATTACAAATGAACAGTGGTTTTCTTATCAGGCTGTGACTTGTGAGTTGTGGCCTGCTTTCAGCATGGCTATAGAGTAATGCATTATGTATCATTGGCCTAAAATAGAACAAAATTCAAAATTACAAGTAGAATTCCTACATATGTAAAGATTAAAAAAGTAAGAGAAGCTATTGTATGTCAGAAGAGGAGTATAATTGAATAATAATAAAGAATTAATCTTGGACAGTATATTTTTAAATACTAATACCAAAGTATTTTTACATTTTCTCTATTGTTCAATTTTCTTTAACATTGCTGATAATTTTCTTTCAACTAGGGATCCCTCAATGAATTTTAATAGGAATAAAAATTGCTGCAGATATTATGGAAATCATTGTGGGGGATTATCAGAAGCTAAAAATGAATCTACTGTATGGCCTAGCTATAGCACTCTCTGGAGTATTCCCAAAAGACTGGGCATCTTAATCCACAGATATTTGCTTACCTATGACCATCACTGCTTGATTCATAAAAGCTAAGAAATGGAAACAATCTAAGTGTACTATTATAATCAGTGAATGGATAATGAAAATGTGGCATATATTCACTATGGAATACTATTCTACTAGAAAGATAAATGAATTGATCAACTTTTCAGGTAAATGGATGGAACTAGAAAAGGTCATATTAACTGAGATAATCCAGACCCAGAAATACCAATGTAACATGTTGGGTTATTGGGGGGATCCTAGCTCCAAATCTTCTGATGTAAATATATAGCCCATAGAATCTATATAAATCAGAAAAGTAAAATGGAACCATTGCCAAGATAGGGTGCTTGGGGAGCAAATAGAGAGGGAATTTGCAGGTTACAAGTGAACTTAACAGGGAAATGGGATTAAGGGGGTACACATTGGGAAAGGGAGGGAGGCACATACAGAATAGAATTGGAGGTAACTAAAATACCTACAAATATGTCAATAAATAAAAACGCCACCAGCAATCACAGTGTTAAAAATACACATATATCCATTCATAATGACCCTTTCTCTCCTGAACTGACTGTGTGTCTTCCACGAGTCAAAGACCACTTAATCAAATCTCCAGTACCAGGAATGAGATTGAGTTGTTGGCCAGGGCTATCCATGAGACTCCTAAAGCATAGAGCCTCTTGTTGTTGCCCTTGATTGCCACACAGAGGGGGAAGGTAAGTCCCTATTGCTGAAGACATCAGATACTGGGGTCAGAGACCTCTGAGCCATAACTATACCATAGCTCCCTACCTGAGGACTAGATTTTTTATATCAAATATACCATACACCTTTCCAAAGGAGGGAGGCAAGCAAAAGTCCTATCAAGCTATGATATATATGAACCACATCAACAACGAGCATAAAACAATAATATTTAGGGTGCAGTAGTGGCATGTGTACCTTGGCAGTAACCAAAACTCTTTAATTGGATTTAAGACCAGCTCAACAATGGGACAGGCACACCTGGTACTGGAATCCTAGTTAAATCCTCAGTGCCAGTGAAGTCATGGTTAGGAGAATCTATAGCCAATAATTGACTAAACCAGCAAATCATTAATAATGATCTTCTTTTTGATTTTTGGGGTTTTTGTTTGTTTGTTTGAGAAAGGATCTCTCTGTATAGTGCTGGTTGTTCTAGAACTCTCTATGTAGATAATGCTGGCTTTGAACTTGCCTATCTCTGCCTATGAGTGCTGGGATGAAAGGTATGCACCACTACACTGGTTCCTAACAACAATTGATAAGCAGTTTCTTTATATACATGAATAATTACAGTCTTCATAAAGGAAATTTCTCTGTACAATAGATGGTGACAATTACAAAGAAACTACAAGGTTCATTGTAGAGTTGTTGAGCCTAGTCCCAATGGATCCATTTACAACACAATCACACATCTAAGGCTTGGGAAACATTGTGGAAGAGTAGAATAGATAATTGTAAAAGCCAGAAGGTCAGGGATTTTTCTGTGATGTTGTGTCTCATATTAATATAAGGAGGGCCACCCATAAAGTCTCACCAACATGATCACTGAAATATGAAATGAAGATGGATGATAGCAATGAACATGCCAAACTGCATGCAGGAAAAAGCTCACAACACCTAAAATCAAAACAAAGAAAGACAGGCAATTGAGGAAAGCTGAGAATGGGAGAGGTGGTCTTCCCCAAGAAAGTGTACACCAATTGGTTGTCCAGTGCCAAATGGTCAGTCCTGAAAATGTAAGTACCGATAGCATTATATGGATTGAATGGGTTGTATTTAGGAATATCTATACATTGTGTTCATTCAACAACAATTAATAAAATAAGAAAAAGAAGCCATGAATTTGGAGGGTTCTGGAGATAAGTATATTGCAGGGAAATGTAATTAAATTATAATATCAAAAGAAAAAACCCGAAAGAAAAATAAGCACAATACATTATAATTTAACATCAAGGCATGGCATTGATCCTTATCAATTTTAGAGATCCCGTTACATGGCAGATGTGACTAACCAGACTCCCAGTTCTTCCAATATGTACACTAGCTAATAGCTTTAGCTGTAACAAACCAGATTTCCAGTTCTTCCAAACATGTACCCTAGGTAATAGCTTTAGTTTTGAGAGCTTTCAGCTAGTTATATAAACAACAAGGAAACATTCTTATGGAATCTTCTAGATATGATTTTGTTCCTTTTAGCGGAAAAGATGTTTGTAGAGCCAGCTATGTCTTAGGTGCTGCACTAGTATTGTGCTAGGGACATACTAGCTGTGCTAGCAGAAACAGAAAAAATGTCTCATAGAGTTGGACAGTACTAAGTACATAATTCTAAAAGTGATGTATTCAATAGACAGCCATATAGGTGCTGTTAGAAAATGAGTTGAAAGTAATATGCTAACTACTTTGGTAAGTAAAGTATATTTATGTTAAAAATCAATCCCATAAAAAGATACTGAGGTTGTCAAAGTTATATACGAATCAATGAAAAGTCTAAAAAAATCGTTTTCCACTTAATAATTCCTTAAAACACAAAGAATTATTGGAAAACTTTATTCGCATGTATAATTGCATATGTGGTTATATATATAATAAACAACTATAATTTTATACACAATAAAAATATGAACAAAGGATGCTTGAGGGTATAATTTTCCACATTATCCAAGAAAAGGTCAATATTTCAGGAAAATAATATTAATTATTGAGTTGTGCAAAGTATTTTACTTAATTTTGTCATTAAAGTTGCTTTTATATAATAAAGGTTTAATAAAAATGAATTTCTGAGCTGGGCAGTGGTGGCACACACCTTTGATCCCAGCACTCAGGAAGCAGAGGCAGAGTAAGGTAGATCTCTGTGAGTTTGAGACCAGCCTGGTCTACAAGAGCTAATTCCAGGGCAGGCTCTAAAGCTGCACAGAGAAACCCTGCCTTGAAAAAAAATGGATTTCTGGGTTTCTATTTATTTTTTTAAGGTCAAACAATTAACTTGTTGGAGACGTTTTAAAGTTTAAAGTTCAAGATCCTTTGGATTGTAGTGGTTAACTTCATTTACATATAGAGGCACTACCAAGAAATATATGAGCTTAGATTATTTTTGGTCTCATATGTTTTAATTTATCATTTAAATAATATAATAATATATATCACATATATGTGTACACACAAATGAATTAAAAAGGGGCAGTTGTAATGAAACAGTGACAAAAGATGAAGGATAACAACAAATACAATACTACACTGTGTAAATGTACCACATTTTCTTTATCCACCTGCAAATGATATGACAGACTTTGACGATCCCCAATGGAAGGCCTCACCCTCCATGAGGAGAAGAAAGGGGATGGGATAGGGGGTTGGTGGAGGGCAGTGGAGAAGGGGAGGGAGAGGAAACTGGGAATGTCATTTAAAACAACCTTGTTTCCAATTTAAATAAATAAAGGAAAAATACAATTCAACAGTAGCAACAGCCTTATAACAAATTTCAATATGATAGGTTACTAAGAAATTGGTTAAAGAAAATTTTCAGCCAGAAGAAGGAATTGGTTGCCTTTTCCACAAACATAAAGTTCACATTGCTCTAATACATATTTTCAAATGTATCCAGATATTCCAAAATGAAATTATTTTCAAGAACAGTATCTCTTATAGGTTAATCATGGCCATTGTCCACTTAGAGTTCTTTATTTTTCTTTCCTTTCTTTTTTAAACTTGTTTTGAGCAGTTAGTACAAAATGTTTTGATTGTTTTCTGATCCCAATTTTATTCCTTGCCACATTCCTTTTCTGTCAAATACAGCAGGGTTCAACAGAGTGTTCCAAATCTTTAATCATTATGAAAAACAGAGTACCTTGACCTTGTATTTTAAAGTTAAATGGAGTGGCATTATAAAAATTAAATTGGTTCTTTCTCATTTCCATAATATCCTCTAAAAAGCCTTGCCTAGCCTAGAGTGGATGTCCTATTTCTTTATCTTTCTTGATGACCTCTCATGCCTGCAAGTCAGCTCGTTTTTCTTTGCTGAAGACTGCACCCCACTGCTGCATGCACTCTAAAAGTTCCATTAAAATCTAGGGCATCATCACTCATTCTTATCTGCAGCAGTCTGCTGAACAGTGCCATACTAGCAACTGCATGCAAACTAGTCTCAAAGGACAATATTAGTTATACACACTGTCATCCCGTAAGGCAAAGAATTCCACCTGGATCCTACCTTATCTTACAGAGCACATCTAGCCTTTCAAACATGGCTGCTAGAGTCAGTGCTTTGAACAGGTATCTTACAACAGCAAGCATTACTTAAAAAGCAATTTACCAGCAAGAAATTAGTTTTTCTTATAGGACACCCTTTATTAAACTCGGTGTGAGATGAGCTAGCATCCTGAATTTTGCCTTGCACCCACTGCGACCACACAGGACAAAAGCAGTTTCATTTTAAATACTGTACTATAAAAAAAAAAAAACAAAAACAAAAAGTCATGTGTTCTCCCTCTGGTCGTGATGAATTCTTTCTTGGGATGAATTGATATTAGGATAATTAATATTTAGTATAAAATATTAGGTTAGGATTTGGCACTGCTCCTGTTGTCCAGGTAAGTGAGAAAATGTTGATTAATAATTTAATGAGACATTAGTAGCACTAATGTCTGGGGATATCAGAGGAAAAATACAGTAGTGGAGAAGATTAGTAAAAAACCTGAGCATACAGATGAAAACTATGGGATACTTGCATCATATGTCTGCAAATTTTTTCAACACTTTCCCGACATTCATTACTACTTTTGCTGTTTAAACTTATTGGCGGGTATTCCAAAATCAGAAATATTCTTCTGTATTTTTGAACATTTTTATTATCTAAGCAGTTCCATAGTCTTCAGGTTTAGACAGCAGATGAGATACTAGATGTTAGATATATTAAGTGCCATGCCAATACCATAGAGAACTTTCATAAGGCCCCAACTCTAGATTAAGAGTTATAGGCAATTAATGACTCCTGAGAGATGGAGAATCAGTTTTCTATAGGGACAGACCCCCAGAAAACTTGTCCAATCCAAAGTGGTAAGCCCTAATCAAGTGTACATACAAACACCATTAAATAGAGCTAGGTAGTTTTGTATATTTGCATGTGTAACAATAGCTATAGAAGAGGTCATGATTTTGAAAAGGAATTGGTATGGGAGAAATTGGAGGAAGATGAAGAAGAGGCGGAATAAAATTCAATTCTCAAAAGAATAGCAAATACGAAATTAAAAAGCTATAGATATAAGTTATAGAATTAGGAAAAATCAGAGAAGGGGCCACAGAATAGTAGTGATTTCACTTAACTTGAAAAATGAAAGGCAAGAAATCATAAAACCACATGAAAAAAAGAAGTGGTCTTCCAGAATTAAAAATGGACATGACAGGGATTAAGGTATGAGATACAATGAAGCTGATATATTTCTTATGAAGATTCATAAAATATTAGGATAATGAGAGATTGAAAACTGGGAAGATTAGAGACTTGCAGATACAATAAACAATACACAACAGGTTCTTAGGAACAGAAAGAGTGGATAAGGAAATTAAGTCTGGGAAGAGAGTTATCTGCAAAATTTCACATGCTTAGAAATCAGTAGGCCAAATCTGTTAAAAGAATAAATGTATTATCTAAGGAGATAGTGCATCTTTTGGTTGCTATTGTTTGTATCTGTCTTTTAAGTTGGTATTCAAATCTATGGCTTTAAAATCATCTCCAATTTATTCAGCACCCATTCTGTAGCACAGAACTTCATTATAACTTGCTTTATTTGCAAAGCCATATGTACAACATAGCAAAGTTTTTAAATGCACACCAGAATATATGTATATGTTTAAATTCATAGGAAAACACTCTAAAATATTTTCATGATTGAACTGGATTAATGAGATTGATTTCATATTAAATTCCAACCACCTAGGATTTTCTTGAGAAAACTGACATAAGCTAATATCTTTCTTTGGGAGGGAAAAATATGAGCTTATGGATATACAAGAGTTAATAGAATAGAGACAGGTTTTTTAAACAATCTTATTTTGAGTGATAACTATTTAATTCACTTGAAGAGCCTATTTCACTGCATATAAAGAGTCTTTTGTGTTGCCTGTAAGAAGGTGCTGTGGTTTCAGGATGTTATAATCATCATTAATTATTTCAGTATTTTAAAGTTCACATCAGATAAGATTATAAGAAAAAATTGACCCAATTTTATTTAGAAGGTCAAATAAATTTATGTTAATTAACTAACCACATGGTGATAAAAATATAAAAGCCCTATTTAAAGTGCACTGAAACTGTGTAAGTAACATGATATAATGGCATTGAGTCCCTGAATTTAGAGAAACAGGACTGTTTTTCTGGTTTGATACTTTCATATACTAATAATATGTTACTAACAGATTTAATTTTAATATACACTAAATCATCAGGAAAAAGGTATAATAAAAATGCTTTACCACAATGGGGACAAAGTTCAGTTATTTTTCAAACTTTACTTCTAGAAACTCAATCCATATTTGGCACCTACCAGGTGCTTAAAAACATTTGTTATCAAATGCATGCATTAATGAACGAATTTGTAAGTGCTCCTTGAAATGAAGCACATGGGCTTGCTTGAAAATTCATCTTGTATTAGACACTTGCTACTTGCTGTATCTATTGTAGCTGAGTCATTAAAATAAATACACAGTCTTCACTGACTACTCATGAACTCACATGGTGAGTTGAATTAGGTAATATTGATTAATTTGTGCTGCAAAACTTTGAAAATGCTACAAATCAGGCCTGTTATGTTCCCTAAAAGCCCCTTGTTAAACACTATCTGGCAAACCAATTTTGTTGTCATTAGTGCCTTCATCATCATCACCACCACCAGCAGCAACAGCAGCAGCAGAAGCAGCAGTAGCAGTAGCAGCAGCAGCAGCAAGTGTTTTGAGGTTGAACACTAAGGTTATGTGCAGACCATGTAAGCTCTTGATGTCACTGAGGTACACTCCTAGCCCTTTGCTATTATTACAAATCTTTTCTCTCTGGCTTCTGCTTAATTCCTCCACAAGTTTGGCTCAATTATACAGAAGTATTTGTCGTCTCTCAAATAATTCCAGCTTTCTGGGTCACTGTACAACTATCACTTTTTCTTGTGTTACAGAAAGACATCCCCATCTATTAGCTAATTCATTATCAGATTCTATATCTGTGAAAATAAGTGTTGGGTTCTCCAAAATTATAGTTCAATTGCTTTTTCAGGCACTCAGCTATCACAGGATTATCACCAAGATAATATCATCAAAGGCATAATAATTGCTTGCTTACATGTATGCCTCCACTAAGAGCTCTCTGAACTGAAAGGCAAGGACTACCTTATTGATGGCTATATTCTCTGTACATTGTTCCTACAGGACTAGTTGATGAATGATTTTTCTTTGAACAACTGCAAAGTAATTCAGTCTGGTTTGTACATCCAGGCAATACAATAAAATTAAGTGGATTATTAGCCCAAGAAATGTAGTCAATAAAGTACAATCACCTTTACAGAAGTACTCGTTGCTTGGCAAATTTTCTGGATGTTAGTGGAGAAATCCATTACACTAAACCACACAGTTAGTCAGTCCTCTTGTTGCTGGCAGACTCACAGACATTTACTTCGAAGACCATTGGTTGAACACAAACAGTTGATGATTGTGGCAGATTAAGTCAATATTAATGGCTGCCTGATGAATGTGTTGTGACTACATGGCACTACATAGCAGTGACATTTGAGATCCTTTCTGTCTCATCTAAATATCTTAGTAATAGAAAAGGGAATTATAGAACCAGCCAATATGGTTTATTGAGCAAACATTTCTTTTGCTCTTGTGTATGTATGAACCAATGCATAAAAACCGTACTATTGTTGCTTTCCACTCTTGACACACTGCTTAGATGTTGCATCAGATACATTTCATGTCCTCCTAAATATTACATTCTCTGAAACTCATTAATCTATTAATGTAGCCAATGGAATAGCAATCACAGGAAACTGAATCATGAGTAACAGAAAATCCGAAGCACTGCCCTGTTCCTGTTCTAATGTCTTGTTGTGCATGAATTTCCTCTGATGCTTTAGCTTCCTAATTTCCTTATGGGTATATCCCCCCTTCCACTGTTGCAGTTTTAGATAGACAACCTTCCATTGATTAGGTCCTGTGTAACTTGAAATTCAGAAATCCAACAACCTAATGCTTAAAACACCCTGCTATAGATGTAGGAGTAGCCTCCTGCAGTTGGTAATGTCTAGATTATTTTTGATTATTTCTCTTTTAGTATCTCAGGTCTTTCTTTCCTATGTAATTGTCTATGGAATTCAGTTTCTTAGAACTGCTTAAAGTAATTATTATTATTATTTTGACAAGGTACAAGATTTGATAATTAAAACAAAATATCCTAATTATCTTTGCCTTCCTATTTCATATGACCCCTCAAATCTAATTAGTGTTGAATAATTATGCATTCTGTATAAATTGTTTTCCCCTCTATTCCCATTTTCCAAATGCTAATGTGAAGCATTTCCTTCTTCTTGAACCATCACAATATACTTCTACCTTCAGTCTCTTTCTCTTTTCTTTTACTGGGAACAATAGGCATGAAGCACACTTTAATCAGTTTGGGTAGACAAATGAAAAGGATTATTATAGTTTGGAGGTGAAATTATAAAAGAATCAACAAAATATGAAAAATTAGGCTTGTCCACTAGGCCTAGACTTTTGCTTTGGCTGTTTTTGCAGTTCTGGAGATCAAACTTTGGGTGTTGCTATTGCTAAGCAAGTACTCTACTACTGAGTCTCAACCCATGTATTCATGCTTCTATAGGAACAACATAAACAATTCTAATTGCTATGCTTTTGATAACAAAAGAAGGTCTAATAAATAATTACACAGAGTGAAGTAAGCACAATATGAAATTATTCTTCCAAGTTAAAGAAACAGCCCTGACAGGAATCTATTGAAGAGAACTCTTATAAATTGTGGTAAGGATTCTGAATTGTAGCTCTCCACAAATGACTGCTTCTGGTTGGGGTGGCTGTGGGGCAGAACTCAATTTTCTTTAAGAGGTTGGCCACAGGTAGTGTGACCATGATCCAGTGCATATATGGGCAAGACAAATTGGTGCATATATGGGCAATTACAAAGGTGAGGGGGAAGACCTTGGAGGAGTGAGAAGTCAGTGTGATCTGTGTACATTAGGTGAAATTCAACAATAATCAATAAAAATGTTATATTGGAAGTAATTATTCTAAGT